CCACAAACTTTAGTGTTCGTTTAGCCCCGCGAATACCAGCTTAAATTCTATATTATCTCCAATTCAACCGCCACCGCAGGCCTCGAAGGAAAATTCTAGGGTGGTCTTGGGGGGAGGGGTCGCTCGTGGGTTTGCAGGTTGTGCTGGGAGTCGTGGTAGTAGCGGAGTTGGATGCCGTGCGCGAGGCGGGAGCAGAAGCTGATGGGTGGCGCGTACTCGCTGAGGCTGCGTTCGGGTGGGAAGACCTGGGCCATGAAGCCGTCTGCTGCCCACATCAGGGCTGCCGCGCGCTTGAAGACCCCGAGTGGGTGCCTGGCCATGCGGACCGCTACGCTTTTAGGTTGGACACCCCCCCCCTCCGCTTGGGCCTCTTCTGTTTGTGCACCCCCCTCCGGAGCCTCGGAGTGGCGGCTGTTGAAGTCCTCGGCTGGTTCGATCCCTGCCCCCACGTGGCAGTGCAGTCCGGTGGTGAGGTTGACGCGCAGGCGGAAGCGGTCGATCAGGGCCTGGACCACCAGGTTAGATATGGGCGGTAGACTTCTGGGGTCTGTCCCAGAGGGCGAGGAACTGGTGACCCTCGAAAGGCCAGGTGGGCGGTACCCACCGCACGGCTAAAAAAGTCGTCGGTGGACGGACCCGGTCACGCGTGACCCGTCCCAGCCCGCTGTACGTCATGCCGAGGCTCGGTCATGACGTACATGCTGCGGTGTGATTGCGCGGCCGGGCGTGCGCGACCGCTCGAGTTTGGCGCCCGGCACGCTGAGGATGGCATGTTCGATGAGGCCGGCTGCCCAAGAACGCGGTGTCTTTTTGGGCTCCCCAACGTGCCCGCCCTCGCCCTCGCCCTCTTGGCTGCCCTCGGCCCCTCGGCGCTCCTCGTTTTCGTCGTCGGGGGTCCACCCGTCGTAGGTGTCCTCGATGTAGTCGACGTCATCGGGGAGTACGAGTGCTGGGGGGAGGGCGCGTTCCTCTTCATCATCGACGACGAGAGCCTCGGGATCTTGCCAGTCGTCGAGCCGAGAGTCCCTGTAGTAGAAGAGGAACTCAAGCTCGACGCCGAAGGAGAGCTCGCCGTCGCTGACCTCGTAATCGGGCGTGTTGTCTGCGCCCATGGGTTTGTGTGCCATCGTCGTGGCGGGTGAAATGAAGACGTTCTGCATTGTGTAGGCTTTGCAGAACGTCGAGTTGGTCGTATATATCAGACAAGTCCGGACAAACGGACTTGTCTGAAGATTGGCTTTGTGTTGTGGCGCTCTAAGTTTGTCTTTGTCGGTTTACTAACTTGACCGAGAAAAAGGACTAACTAGCGTAAGACAAAGAGCGCTATTTACGACAATTGCGAGAAGATCTGGTGCTCAGACTTGAATGTCTTGCAATGTCGAAAGATGAAGGAGGGAGAATGAGAGAAAAATGAAGAGCGAGGGAAAAGGGGGGTGGGGGGGGCAAAACAACACCTCAAGGCACTGGTTCAGCTAGGTGATTAGAAAAAATGAAGAGCGAGGGAAATTGGGGGGGGGGGGGGGAAGACAACTCCTTAAGGCAACTCCTTCTCGGAACTCCTTGGAGCAACTCCTCAAGGCGCTGCTAGAAAAATAAAGCGAGGGAAATCGGGGGGCAAGGCACTTCTCAAGACACTTGTTCAGCTGGGTGATTAGAAGAAATACGCAGGAGGGAGAGAAAATAAGAGCGAGGGGGATTGTGTGTGGGGATGGCCACTCTCTGACGCACTGGGGTCCGTTTAGTGATTACTAAATACATTGGGGAAATTGGGAGGGGGGAATGAACACTCCACAAAGATATGCCCTTCCGGGGAATTCCTTTAGGAAGACTCCTTCAGGAAACCCTCCTTCAGGTGACCCCTTTAAGCACTGCCAGGAAACCCCTTCCAACTCCTTAAGAGTAACTCCTTGAGGTAACTCCAAGACAGCTCCTTCAGGTAACTCCCAGGCAACTCCTTAAAGGCAACTCCAAGGCAACTCCTTTGGGTGACTCCCCAAGGCGCTGCTTCAGGAGGTCCGAGTCCTGGGTGATTAGAATCATGGCCACGGGGTTGCAAGGACCTGCTGCTATTGTCAAGGCTCGTTCTAGAACCGCCGCAATGTTGGGATAAGGTTTGCTGCTCGCTGGTCAGATGCTGCGTGATCATCATGATAACAGTTTGGAGGTCTGTGTGTCGCGCGTGACATGCCATGGATTGAATCTCCACCTTATGTGTACTGTGTATTATTGTGAGTTTCGTCATAGTAACGTTACTGCGTTCTGGTGCCTTCCATGATTCGAGTGGCCGCGTGGTCGACCGCCAGCAGTTGAGCAGGCGCATTTTCCAAACTTCTATCATCCCTGTCGTCCATGCATAGCCTCGGACTGGGCCTGTCCTGCGCATTTTCTGAACTTCTATCACCCCTGTTATCCATGTATAGCCTGGGCCCGGGCCTGTTCTGCGCATCTTCGGTCTCCTGCGATGAGTCCCCCACCCTCAATAATTGTCCCCCCTCCCCCTTCCCCTCCCCCACCCGTGTGCTGGAGGCTCTCAAGACAGGTCGAGATACGAAACTTCATTCAGATCCCTCACGGGTGAGATAATATCCGCCTCATCCTTATCCGACTCGACCTCCTCTTTATCCCTCCTCGACACGGGCGGTGGTGAGGGGGTGTGGCCCATAGCTGACGCATGGGGACAGGGGCCCTCGCCGACGGTGGCGCGGTGGCTGTGAAAGGTGCACTGACGGAAGCCGAACATGCGCTCCCCACTGCGCAGGCTGTTGGCAGGCAGGCGTAATTGGGGGTTCTTGATGCGCACGTCGGCGCGGCTCTGGGCCATCTTGTGCAGGTGCATGGTATAGTCGCTGTTGAGCTCCGGGTAGAGGACGAACAGCTTGTCGGCGTCGAGACGGGTGCCGGGCTTGTCGGCACCTCCGTGCAGGGTCCAGGCGAGCATGGCCACGGCCCACTTGCGTAGGCGCACGGCGTGCTGGGGGTCGCACTCGGCGAAGAGGAAGGACAGGAAGCGCGGCGACATGTCCCAGTCGAATCGCAGATACATGTCCTGGAGGGCGTCCATGGCGGCGTCCTGGAGACTCGGGAGGTCGATGATGGCGGCAAATAGGTGCAGGCGGACGATATTGGTGCGGAGGATGCGGAACTTGTCCGGGCACGCCGTCTGAAGGGCGCCGTCGATGAAGGTGGGGAATCGGCGCCGTTGGTAGAGCCAGAGAACAAATATCTCAAACATATCGGGCGCCTCGTTTGGGAGCCAAAGGACCGAGTCCTCGTCATCATCCTCGTCATCACCCTCGTCATCCTCTTCCGAACTTGAGGGGATTGCCTCGATATGGCCTTGGAAGAAAGCGCAGCTTTCGCTCAGCAGGTTCCTGTGTATTGTGAACTCTCGCTGTTCCTCCCCGACTAGGACCTTTACAACTTCGCACCCCTCGAAGCTACCACGGACCGGTATGTTAGTTGGTCTCTCTTGGGCGTTCTAGGGCTGCTCGGGATACTCACGAGCCGACCACTGTCTTGCTTGCACTCCACCTCATCGTGTGCTTTGCTGTCGATTATGGACCACTAGGATGTGTTTTTTTCTCTTTTGTCTTAATAGCCGCTCAGCAGCAAAAGGTGGCAATGACCCGATGGCCGTGTGATAAAATTGTAGAAAACGAGCGAAGGGAAATTCAAAAGAGAGTGGAGGATGGTTTACATGAGACGCCCATGTTCCCTGACGAGATGGCGACCGTATTTAGTTATGACTATTCCGCTGCCGTCCGTCTCAGTGCTACAGCTCGCGCGACATATCCGGCAAGCTGGGCCGGAGAGTAGTATTAAAATGCGAAGCGAGTCGCGACTTCTCTATGGTACGCGCCCCTGTGTTTCGTTTCGACCCCCCTGTGGCGGAATCTGGGACGACGCCATGGATCCCCCACGAACAAGGGGGTGTCTGAGCTTCAGTCCAGAGAACCCCTCGATCTTGGCGGGTGAGCAACCCGTTTGGGCTGTTTCCTTTGGCCTTTTAGGCTTTGGTTACCGCTTTGAGATAATGCCCATGGTTACTGGCATTTGTGTATCCACCTGGCCGCCACGATTTGTTTCGAGTTTCCCGTGACGGAAGCGAGATGTCATATTTAGTTGACGATATAGGCTGGGGTCCATGGCGTTGACATCTCGGCGTGTCGGCTGGAGCCGGGCGAGCCGGGGTCTTGAGGATCATTCGAGTTTCGGAGAATTGTCATCGCGACGTCGACCACTCAGTCGAAAGTCAGTGGCCGTTTACGTTTTTCCGATATAAGAGTACCATCCCCAACCATATTCGTACTAACAAAATGCCCAAAAAATCTCGGCGCTGTCGCAATGGCAATTTTTCGGTTTTCGGATTGTTAATCCAACCCTGTCTTCCGTCTTGCACCAGTTTCAAAACGCCAATCGGCATTGCAGCGCGGATTGAATGGCTGATGTTGGAGTTAATGAGAGGGTTAGGGCTGTCATTGCTCAACCAACATTATTCAGCATGTGGGCAGGCAATGCTCAGCCTCGGTTTCGAAAATTGCGCCATTCATCCGAAGCCGATTTCCAAACCCTTCCAAATGGAAACCCACAACAACCCACCAGCAACTCCGATCAAACCCCGCCGGCGATGGCCGTTACATACACATACACTAACTACCTACAGATTAGCCTGCGGGGTATCTTTTTTCCCTACTAGACAAGATGAAACGACATTCCCCGCCATCGCTGCTGCTTATTCATCTCAAGATGCACCAAGGTCAAGCATCGAGGGTTGTTCGAGAAGGCCCAAGTATTCAAGTATTGCCACTGACTATAGAGAGTGAACTATATAAACTAAAACGAAGTCCTGGTATTTTCCTTGCCGAAACTGCTCATCATCAAACCGTGAACTCGCATCTTGAGCTGTGATTGTGGAAGACAACCCCCTCTCCCTTCTCTTGGCACCTTCCATTATAGACGATTCATAACTCTATTTCGTCTCTTTCGACATCGCCAACGACTAACCCCTGGGTTGTCTCATTTTTCTGGCTGCTACGCAACACCGCCATCCACCTTACACAGCGTCTCTCACCAACCTTACGTAGCCAAGATGACGGTCAAGAAGCTCACCGCAAGCACCCCGGCGGCCGGTGCCCCCTTCTACACCCCCACTCAGACACCTCCGGCCGGAACGGCCCTCGACACCGGGACCGAGGTGCCCACGCTCTTCACGCCCATCACGCTCCGGGGCATGACCCTCCAGAACCGCTTCGCCGTCAGCCCCATGTGCATGTACTCGGCCGACGACGGCCACCTCACCGACTGGCACCTGGTGCACCTGGGCGCCTTTGCCCTGCGCGGCGCCGCCCTGACCATCGTCGAGGCCACCGCCGTCACCGCCAACGGCCGTATCTCGCCCGAGGACAGCGGCCTGTGGCAGGACAGCCAGATCGCCCCACTGAAGCGCATCGTCGACTTTGTGCACTCGCAGGGCCAGAAGATCGGCATCCAGCTGGCCCACGCCGGCCGCAAGGCGAGCACTCTCGGGCCCTGGCACGTCACCCCGACGCGCCACGAGGTCGCCACGGCCGAGGTCGGCGGCTGGCCCGACAACCTGTGGGCGCCGAGCGCCATCCCCTGGGACGAGGGCTACCCGACGCCCCACGAGATGACGGTGGCCCAGATCGAGGGGCTGGTGCAGAGCTTTGCGGATGCGGCTCGCCGCGCCGTAGAAGCAGGCGTCGACACCATCGAGATCCACGGCGCCCACGGCTATCTCATCTCCGAGTTCCTCTCGCCCATCACCAACGTAAGCCCCCCTTCCCCCCAAAACAAATCAAAAACAAAAGAAAACACTAACACCCTCACCCCAGCAACGCACCGACTCCTACGGCGGCAGCTTCACCAACCGCACCCGCCTCCTAGTCAACACCATCCGCGCCGTCCGCGCCGTCATCCCCAGCACCATGCCCCTCCTGCTCCGCATCTCCACCACCGAATGGATGGAGCACACCGGACAGCCCTCCTGGGACTTGGCCCAAAGCCAGCAGCTCGCCGCCCTCCTGCCCGACCTCGGCGTCGACCTGCTGGACGTCAGCTCCGGCGGCAACAACCCCGCCCAGCAGATCAAGGTGCACCAGTACTACCAGGCGGATCTGGCCGGGGCGATCCGGGCGGCGCTGCGGGCGAAGGGCGAGGAGAGGCTGGCGATTGGCGCGGTGGGTATGGTCAGCACGGCGGAGATGGCGAGGGGGTTGGTGCAGGCGGATGGGACGCTGGCGGGGAAGGAGAATGGGGAGGGGACGGTGGAGGTGGATGCTGAGCATGGGACGAAGGCGAAGGCGGATTTGGTGCTGGTGGCCAGGCAGTTTCTGAGGGAGCCGGAGTTTGTGCTTAAGACGGCGACGCTGTTGGGGGTTAAGGTGCAGGGGCCGGTGCAGTACCACCGGGCGCCGTTCAAGAGGGAGAGGTTGTAGAGGGGTGGGGGGTGTTGTATAGAGGCGTTGGGTTGGTGGAATGAACTACTGCTGGTGTTCGGTGTTTGAGGGGTGGAAGTAGAAAAGGCAGAGGGACTAGAGGGGTGATTTAGAGCTGATATTCGAGACTACTGCTAGCGAAACATGCCAGATATTCCTTTCCTGCTATGATTTTCCCAGAGCCATAATAACCCGTATTCCAAAGATGCCACGCTGACAACCTAGATCCCATCCGTCCCAACGCCAACCCGTTGCAAGAGGAATGAATGAACATCTTAGTTCGCTGCATCTGCAGCCGCACCCGCAGCCTCACCTGCACCCGCCTTATCCTTCTCTCTCTTCACCATCTCGCTCTCCACCACGGACCGCACCAACTGCAGCAGCAGCTCCCGCCCGGTGGCAATGCTATGCTCCGACGCATCACTCGGCACGTGCAGGAACAGGACCCTCCTCCGCTCCCCGGCCCGCTCCAAATGCGCCAGGCTCGAGAAGTAGATGAAGTCGCACAGGTAATGCCCAGCATCCTCTGAGATCCTCAGATCCATATGTTTCTACTCGATGTCAGCCAGCATCCCCCATCAGCACCCCTACCCACCAAAAGAGGAAAAAAGGAGTCAAAATAGACACATACCGGCGAATACCCCCTCCACCTCCCAAGGACGTCCTCCACATCCACCTCCGTCTCCAACTCCCCCGGCAACCCCTCCCAAAACCCCCCCTCCCCTTCATCACCCCCTCCCCGGTCATCACCCAACAACTCCCCATCCACATCCGGCATCGCATACCCACCCCGATGCCCCCGCCGCTCAATACTATAAAACAGCCTCGGCCCCGCCATACCCACATGAATCGCCGCATCAATCCGCTGCCCACCACCACCACCCCCACCACCCTCCCCTTCCCCCCCCTCGCCAACCCTCCACAACTCCGGCACGAGTGCGCGCACCGTCTGGTAATTGACGCGGATCGGGGCCGGTGTGCACGAGCAAGGCGGACGGGGGGGATTGGGTTTTTCGTGGGGGGGTGGTGGTGAGGATGGGGTGGGGGAAGGCGTTGGCGGCGGGAGCGGCGGCAGGTGGGTGGGCAGGGAGTGGGCGATTTCCCAGGAGGGGTTTGATGGGGTAGTCGCGTTTGAAGGGCTGGTGGGGGGGGGAGTGTTAGTTGGTTAGTTTGTGTTAGGTAGTTGTGGTGGTGGGGTTTCACTGGCTAGTGTTCTTCTTGTTTTGTCTTTGGTTTGGGAGTGGGAGGGGAGGGGGGAGGATGAGGTGTGAAGGTTGGTGAGATGGGAGTGGCGATGTTTGGGTTTGGTGTTTGTTGCTTGGAGATGATGTGTAATGGAACACGGTCTAGGCTGAGGCTTCTCCAATGCAGAGAGTGTGGTGAGATGATGAGAGAACTTACCCTCGAAACCAGTAATCAACACCGTAAAGGGTTGCTCTTCTGAGCGGTCTGTGGCGACAGATCCCATGGTGATGAATGCGTACGGTCACGCCGTGTATCACTTATACTTGGTGTTGCTGTTGCACCGGGGTTGTGTGGTTGGTTCAGTGTGGGAGGGTGGCTGTTTGAAACCCCCGCAACCGTCTCTTATAAGAGGGACCCGGAGGCGCTGTGAAAAGGAATTGGGGATTTGGAGTGGATATCACTGCACTGCTGCCGCCGTTTGAGAGAGAGGGGTAACCAGTGCGGAGAACAGAAGCCACTATCACGGCAGCGAATGCCCTTGATTGGCGGTCCTCCCGCTTCCATCTCTTTTCATGGACCGGCTTCAACCGCCCGAGACCCTCTTCTTGCTCCTCGCGCTGCAAACGACAGTGTGTATCTTGCCTATGACTGGCCCCCCAAAGCATCCGATGGTCACTTGCAGACGGCACCAACAACTCTTTAGGTTGCTTTTGCTCATGTGATACTATGTGTAAGCCAACTGTCAACCGCCAACTCGTCACGATTCAGAGATACCCAACCCGGGTGAGCCTGACGCGGGCCGGGCCGGTATGCGCCATCCGCGGCCCCGGATTCGACTTCGGCCGACCGCAGTTGGTTACCCACTGTATTTTACATAGGTGGGATGAATCCTCCAGCGGCTCTGCACCTTGTTGGTCTCGGCTTACACATCCCGAGTCGACGCAGTACTCGAGCCGCTGAAGGAGCGAGCAGGAGGATTCCGATATATGTAATATATGTCTCAGAGATGCTGTCGAACCACCGTCCGATATCTCGATGAAATGCCCTCGCAGTCCGAACTTAGTGTGACCTTCCGAATCGATCGCCAAGCAGTGTCACTCTCGGCGAAGTAGGACACGGCCAATGATGGTGAACTGCCACGGCTGCTTACCAAAAGTAACGAGCTGGCCCCAGTCTGATCCACCCCGCATGCCAATGTTCAAGGCTTGTTTTGAAGTACGCCATTATGGCGGGTGCAGGTTGCCGTATGAGTGAGCTATTGTCGTAAACGAAGGACGTTGCGAGTCTGGGGCCATATCCACTGGGGCTTGAACCAGCCCGGAGTGGGCTCACGTCGGCGGGACATAGGCCTTCTCTCAACATATTATGCATTCGTCGGATAAAACTCCAGGGGTATCGAACCCATCTACATGCCTGCTGAAGCGTTAGCACAACCTCGTGGTGGTGTAACAGCTTCGCGAGGAATAAGCACCATATACACAACCCTATCCGCCTTCGTTCCCTGTGCGCCTTTGTGCCTCCAAGTTCATCCCGTTTTTATAACCACCTCGAACCGACCGTTCCACGTCCAAGTCGTCGCCCATACGGAAGACCCAGCAACCGACGTATGCTGACTGTTCCCGTGCTGTGAGAGCGAGTAGCCCTTCCTGGAGGGGGGTGCATGGGTAGGCGTCTTCAATGTCGTCCGGTGTGACGCCGCACTGTA